GGCCAACGGGCCGGCCCGCGGGTCATGGCCCACTTTGCCATCTCTATGTATATTACATCTTATATATATTAGGGTGCTAATTTTCTCTACTAAAAATAATCTTAAACAACGTATCAAGAATATGTTATTATTTTTCTTTGACTTAAATTTTTTATGTGAATATCTTACATAAACATTTTATAAATTTTAATATAATATTAAATTACTTATATAATTTATTTTCTTTCCAATGTAACTTACACATTTTTTAACCCTGCAACTCATGTGAATATCTAGTTGTTAATAAATTGGATTAGCATGTTAAAGTCTGGTTCATAATTTATGTGCAGCATTGTAAAAATGAATGAATATCAAGAAAAGCCAAGTAATAATGAATGAATGAATGATCTTATCTCCATTGTGTCTCTGAGACATGGCACTGTTTTCTCTCCAAAATAACCTCTTTCCACTTCCAATGCTAACTGCTCCTACTCCTTCCTCAACAAAGACCTTTCCCTCTGTTACTTCGCGTCGAGACGTAATCTTTGGTTCCAGCCTCGTACTTCTCAATTCAACACCAGTTTCACTTGCACAGCCCGTGCCAGATGATGATGAGCTTCAGCAACAAGAAGACCATCTTGTGCAACTCTTTCAGGTCACATCACACCAACCCCTTTTCTCCAATTTTGTTCACATAGTAACACACTCCTTGGTTGAATGCTCTTCTTATATTTGTTCTGTTCTGTATCACATCCTCAAAATGTGATTTTTGTTCCTTTTTTATTAAACTTGGGATTATCACAGGATACTTCACTTTCGGTTGTTTTCATTAAAGACCTTGAATTGACTAAAGTTCCCAAGAGCTCTTCCAAGGTAGACATGCTAAATGAAGATGAAGATGCAAAACTGGAAGGCACTGGTTCAGGTTTCATTTGGGATAAATTTGGTCACATAGTAAGAAAAGCCAAATCACAAGGGGGAATTGGTTCTCCCCACGTGGATATGATTCTACTCGTTTATCTTATTTAACTGTTGACTGGTTGAGCATTTTTCTTTAAAATTCATGAAAATGGTTAACTTAATTGTAGATTCGCTTGCTATAGATAATTACATGTAGTCTTTGATTGCACATGTTACTGATTGGTGATTGTTCAAAGTAGTCATGTGTTTTTGCCGGTGGACAGGTTACCAATTACCATGTTGTTGATAAACTGGCTACTGATACAAGTGGTTTACAGCGTTGTAAGGTTTTCCCTTATGCTGTTAATTCCATTAAACTCCTAATAATATTTTAGGTGGGAGATATATGATTCTGTTTACTAGCATTTATCTGGGTAGCAATAGTATTGCACGTTCATACTCCTGTCTACACACTACAGGTGTTCCTAGTTGATGCCAAAGGGAATAGCTTTTACAGGGAAGGGAAGATAATTGGGTTTGATCAAGCGTACGATCTAGCTGTTCTGAAGGTATACATTCCAATCCTCTTCTTTTTTCTTCATTTTCTTCCTTTTCTGAACATGTAGTTTCTTTTCACTCTTGTGGCATCTTCTCTATGCTCTCACTCATAAATACTTCCTCCCCTTTTCCTCTTTATGATCCATTGTCTTGACATGTTCTCATTTGGTACTTCAACGCCTGCATTTTTTTTTTTAATTATAAGGGCATTTGGGACCTCATAATGTGAAAGCCTAAATCTTCCAGTCCAAAGTTCCTTTGAGCATGTTGATGTATTTTGTATTAGCAAACATTAGTGTAGGCATCAATTTTCCCTTCTTAGGTTCTAAAAAATTATCAAACAGATTTGGTGTTCAACAAACTGAAACGCCAAGTAACTATGTCGGTATTTATCACGTACAAATATGCAGACAGATTTGATTTATGCTGCAAAAGCTGTACTATTCTGTCCGGTAAAAAAAAATTCGCTTAATGTCTTTGACCAGAAGCCTTTTGACAAAGCCATCTACGATATTCCTACATGGAATCAACTACGCTAGGACCTTAGATATTTTGTTGGCTTGCTATGATAGTGATGTGAAAATGGAAATGGGTGAAGCATCAGCAAAAGATACACAGATGTCAAAAGATCTCGCTATGACCAAAATAAAAATGACTTCAGCATCTTTGGACAAAACAGGCTTTACCATTTTGTAAATTCCCTTCATCTTATGATAATGACAACAAATCATCCCTCTAAGTTGAAGACACTTATACCTATTACCTTGGTACAAAAATGCACTTGTTTGGTCCTTAGTAATAGAAAACCAAACTAGTGCACTGCATAGTGTAGCCAGAGGCTGATGTAGAATTCTTCATCAGCGCTGTAGATTTGCTCCCATTCATGGTAAACATAAATGAATTGGAAAAATCACACCAAAAGAAGGACACCAATTTTCATGGTTACAAATTCAGAAAGTGGATAAAATAATTGGTGGCATGAGTATGCTAATAGATTCTGCATCTGCTTTAAGTTGAATGCTTTGAGCCTGATACATCATCCTTTTTTGGAACAATTTAATGGTATATCTGCATATAGTATCTCTTTAATTGACTACTCACTTCAAAGTAGATTGTAGCAAATAAATATCACCCATCATATAGCCAGCCCTCTGCATGTGCCTCTCATTTCTCTGTGAAAAAAATCGGTAATGTAACTAAGCCCCTTTTGATATCAGTTAAAACGTGGCATCTATTCATGAGGGCAGTTTCCCTAGTTTTAAAGAGAACTAGATGTAAGCTCACACATTGCATGGATGACATTTAAAAGTCAATTTGTCAATATATTAGGCTTATAAATAACACTTTATATATGAAAACTTTCTGATTTATCATAAATATCCTTTGATTTCTCGCAATAGAATTTGTTGTTCATCAAAATGTTTAGTGAGCTTAGCATGTGAACATGATCAGTTGGAAAAATAAGCATGCAAAATAATTAATAAAAATTTGATTTTTGTCATCTTTTTCAAAAAATGACTACGAGAAATACAGATAAAAATTGTTTCTTTTAAAACATAATATGTCTACCCTTTCTTTTTCACTATTTTTCCTTGATGAACAACACTAATGATATCAGGAATAATCGTGACAAAGAAGGGTGTGGTTGGATAAATAAAATAAAAGATACGGAAGATAAGTAGGAATGTCATACAAAAAGTAGAAACAGAGTAAGAAGAAAGTCGGGGAGACAAGGAAACTGAAGTTGAGGATTAAATGGCTAGTGCTTATTCGAGTAATTGATAAGGTTGATAATGATTAAATCATGCTCATTTATAAAATAACCAAAGCTACAAAAGACAAAGGAAGACAATGAACGATTAAGTAACTAGAAATGAAAAGTTGGTTATGTGCTCCAAGGAATTGAAAAGTGAGGGAATGAGGAGCCTAGAACAGTGAAAAGTTGCTGACATAACATAAAATGAGTGTAGAAAGAAATTGATGTGGCAGCTTTAGATTTTATATGTTAGAAATAAACAGATAGATGGACAGATTTTCATTCCTCTTCTTTTGTCTACCTAATAAAGCTAATATAGTGCAATCTTAGTTACATCTTATGCATTTTTTTCTCTCTCTCCATATGTAGGCCACTGTAAGATATGCATAACACTTGTTCCATTTGCAGGTTGATGTTGATGGATACGATATAAAGCCTGTTGTTCTTGGTCAGTCTAACAATTTACGTGTTGGCCAGAGTTGCTTTGCCATTGGAAATCCTTATGGATATGAGAACACTCTCACAACAGGGGTAATTTTTTAATAAATTTGAATCTAATATCTCTATCCAATCATGCAAAGTAGTTGCAGAAGAAGGATGAAAACTGGTGGGTGAAATTTCAAGAAATTATTTATGTGCTGTCCTATTTAAAGATTTGTTGCATTCTTCGGTATAATGCCTAATTGACAGGCAATCAACATGTAACCATTATAAGCCACCTGAACTTGGGTGCAGGCACTAGGTTTAAGTCCTTATAGTAATTTATGATGCTCCAAAAAAGTATAATGTGATCATTCTGTATTGTCTGATGTAAATTATGCAGGTGGTCAGTGGTTTAGGCCGCGAGATACCATCACCAAATGGAAGGGCCATTAGAGGAGCTATTCAAACTGATGCAACAATTAATGCAGGTAAGCTATACTCTTAATTGAATTAGATTATGTTAGGCCCTCATCCACAAATATTTGTTCCCTCTTTAAGTTAAATTTGAGGAACTATGTTAATGTATGGAAACTATAATTTGTACCTTAACTTATATTGCACATTAACAAAAAGGATAACTTCTACTTTTTCCCCATGCACTCTACAACTTCTTGGGAATTGATTGAGACTGGATAATATCAACATTTCAACCTCTCTCATCTCATCATGTTTTTTTAAAATATGGTTTGTGCATGTAATATTGGTTGATGTGATTTCGCCAGTTAAGCTAAATTCATAGCTACCATAGCTGCTGCAACAAAATTGGTTTTATTACCCAATGATTCTGGATTAATTTATAGAAATCTACACAAGAAAATACAGTATTTTTGCTACATATGACATGGACGTCCACAATGCCAGCTCGTTATCTTTATATCTAGTACAGATGGCTGCTCATTATTGGCAAAGATACTGCCTGATGAGATCAAACCTGGAAAATTCACTTCATTCTAACCTAAATGGGGTAAATAAATATACTGTGGTGAAAAAAAATCTTGGTTAGAACGTTTTACTTGAGAAAAATCACTAGATCCAACCGTTTTCCCATGTCAAGATGTTATGTATAAATCATGACTTTGTTGTTGACTGAAATTCCAATTTTGAGACAATAGTTTGTTTAAAACACACTTTAAGATTCTTCATATTAATTTGGATTTCAGTATTTTCCTATTGTCATGAGACTATGTAGCTGTATGACCTTATTTGTACATGGATATGAACAGGAAATTCAGGTGGACCATTGATTGACTCGTACGGCCATGTTATTGGAGTAAACACAGCCACCTTCACTAGGAAAGGTAATAAGATGTTCTTCCTCTTCTATTTTTATGAATATACTTCCATAACATATTCTATTAAAGAAGGAATAAGAGTTCCTTCCCTTTACTTTAAGCAGCATTATCAACACTAAATTAGAATAATTTGGACTACTAGATTGTTAACTGAATTATGTTTTTTTGCTCTTTTTGATGCATTTCAGGGACTGGAGTATCATCAGGTGTTAACTTTGCAATTCCCATCGACACAGTTATCAGAACTGTACCATACCTTATTGTTTACGGAACACCTTATAGCAATAGGTTTTGATTGTTCATGTTACATTGCATAAACTTAAATTTTGAATATCAATTTTACATTCAAGTTGTACATGAAATACCATGTCTGTTCTAAAGTTGAAATGAGTATCCTAACTTATACACTTGAACTTTCTAAAAGAACTGTGTAAATTCTGCCAAAAATTTTGTAACTTGCTTTTCACAGCAGTTCTTATTTTCTGAGACACTGAAAATAAGAGTCAACAAAGGCACCTCATTTACAGAATTGTTAAACAAAATGTGTTGTGTTTAAATTTGTGATAATACGATCAATGAATTTTTAAGTGTTATTGCGTACAAGAAGAACTAATCAATTCTTGGGGATTTTAAAATTTCAATTTAAAGTATGTTCAATCAAACTAATTTATAAGTTTGCTAAATAACTTATTAAACATGTCTGTTTTGGTGAGGTCCACTAATGACTTGATGTCATTGCCTTCGGATTGTGGATGTTGGTCTTCTCTCAATGGTGCTGAGAGATGCTGGCATGGTTAAGTTTAAATCTACCGTAACCTTATTAAGATAATGGTTTCTGGAGCAAAGCAAATTTATTACTCGTGAGAAAAGTTAAACATCTACATGCGAACTCATCCTAAAAAACATAGGTTAGATTCCTATTGTCGATCTGAAATTTTTTTGGTAAATAATATATAAGCAACTTTATAAGCATTAATAAAGTCCGGGACTTGACTCACCTAACATTATCACCAAAGGTTTCCATGTTAACTATAGCAGCCCTTTTGGCATTTGTTTAGTTCAACTCACCATTTTGTCTTCTACAAACAAAGACCAAAAGATCTTCCTTCTCATTTCATCAAAAAAGTCAACAGGTGACCATTGTTCATTTCTGTTGAGAACATGTGTCTTAGAAGTCATCAAAGCAATTTTAGTTTTAGTTTGAATTTGTCTGTTAGAGGGTTAGTTTCTGATTTTAAGTGAGTTACTATTTTATTTTTCATTATCAATAGCAGTCCCTAAAATCATGAAGCATGATCTTTATATTCGGTTATTTGAATGTATTTAAATGAGTCATATTAATTATTTAAAATATGCTTCTATAGTTGTAAAATACTCTTAGTCACGTTGTCTTTTCTATTACGTTTCTTTTTACATTTTCTTTATCCAAAATTAAAACTAACAATCAATATTTGAGCTCTTCTCGAAGGACATGTGAAATGAATATTGAATCAAGTTGCTCGCAAGTTACTTCTACTATCTTTGATGAGGAGAACTATAATCTTTGGGTAGTGAAAATAGAGTCCTATGTAGAGGTGTTGGATTTGTGGGATATGGTGGAAGAGGATTATGAAGTACATCTGCTGCCTGAAAATTCACACCAAGGCCCAAGTAAAGAATCACGAGGAGACAAAAAATAAACCAAGTTAAGGCAAATTCATGCCTATTTGTTGGTGTTTCTCAACCTATCTCTACTAGAATCATGATCCACAAAACAACAAAATCAATTTGGAATTATTTAAAGGAAGAGTATGTAGAGGATGAGAGAATCTAAGGCATGTAAGTACTGAATTTGATTAGGGAATTCAAACTACAAAAGATGAAAAAGTTTGAGATGATTAAAGGTTTCTCGAACATATTGTTTGACATTGCTAACAAAGTTAGATTGTTGGGTGATAAATTTGTAAATTCTAGAATTGTGGAAAAAATTCTAATTACAATGCATAGATATGAAGCATCAATAATTTCCTTAGTAAATATAAAGGATTTATATGAGATTTCTTTGAAAAAAGTTATACATACTTTGCAAGCCCAAGAGCAACAAAGGCTCATGAGGGAGGAATCAACAATTGAAGGAGCCTTATTATCCAAGCAGTAAAATGTGACCAAGTACAAGAAAAACAAGGATTTTGATGGAATAGGAGCAAGGTCAACATTAGTCAATACAAAAGGAAATTGGAAGAAACCTTATCTGTCTTGCCAACATTGTGGAAAGAAAGGACATCTGCCATTTAGGTGTTGGAGAAGACCCAATGCTAAGTGCAATGAGTACAATCAAACAGGGCATGAAATTATTATTTGCAAAAATAAAAATCGACCACACGATGAAGTAGCAAAGGCTATTGATAAAGAGGAGGAGGCAAACATTGTTGATTAAGAGGAGGAGGAGTATCTATTTGTTGCTACGTGTTTCTCTAGCATTGAATCAAGTCAAAAGTGGCTTATTAACAATGGTTGTACAAACCATATGACAAACAACAAGGATCCATTCAAAAACTAAGTAATGCAAGCACATCAAAGGTTTGAGTTGGAAATGACAAGTACATTGTTGTGATTGAAAAAGGAATTGTAGCAATCTCAACCTCTTAAGTACAAAATTCATTTCTAATGTGTTGTATGTTCCTAAAATTATTAGAATTTATTGACTATTGGATAGCTCATTGAGAAAGATTATAAAGTGTTTTTTTAAAACAAACATTGTTTGATTAAAGACGTGTATGAGAAAGATATAAAAATGAGAGGAAATAGCTTTATTCTAAATTCATTGGAGGAGGAGCAAATTGCTTTTTTTATTAAAGTTAGGTTAGCAGCAACAAAGAAAAAAGTTTTGTATAATTAAGAGAAAGCATAGAAGTGAAACAAAAAATATGGTATCATCACAAAATCTATTTTAGAGAAAGAAATTACTATTCAAGAGTACACATAAAGACATATATCGTGGATGGAAGAGATAAAGAAAAAAATTATAAAAATTGAGCATGATGAAAAGTGTTTAAAAATCTTGACTGAGAACTTCAAAGTTAAAGATATTATGACCCAATCACCTAAGAAGAAAACAATAGAATTTCAACATAATTTTTTTTACAAAAAACAAAAGATTAAATTGTTGTATTCTCTAGGACATTGTATATCAGTAGATTAATTTTTTAGGAAAGATGGTAAAGTTTGCAACCTTTAAGACAAGGAGCACCGTTAAGAACATATGTTGTAAATGTTGTCAAAACAATTTTAATTTTAGTTTGAACTAGTTAAATTAGTTATTGTGTTGTTAGAGTTAGTTTCTGAATTTAAGTGAGTTGCCCTAAACTTTAGGTAAGAATATAAAGATTATGAAGCATAATCTTTATATTTAATTATTTGAATGTATTTAAATATGACTCATATCAATCAATTAAAAATATGCTATGGCAGATTCCTCTTTCTTTATCCAAAATTAAAATCAACAGTTTCCGGTTCGTGCACAACTTTTTAAACTTGGTTGTTGAGAAAGAAGAAACCAAAACCATCAAGAAAATGTTCACTCAATGCATCAACGTAAAACAGTAGCTATGCTGATTATGCTTGGACTTGAAAATTAACAATTAAGGTGCTATATACCATGGACAATTTGCTTAAGATATAGTCGCATTTAAAATTCAGTGTAGAATCGGCATGAATTAACTCAAATTATATTTAAGCCTCTAGTAGGAAGTGTATTGACCTCAAAACACAAAAATCCAAAATTCTCCATCCGAAGAATAGAGCATACACTTCAATCGGTACATTTCTCCACAATTTCTTACATTCGCAATTCAACAAAGGAAATTCAGATCCAATTACAGAACACAAGACACAAGTCGAAAGCAACAATTGAAGAGGAAGAAAGGAAAACCTAGCTAGGGCGGAGAGAAAGGAGGGAGAAGTGTTCCTGGAGAGAGCAATCGACGTGGCAAGAGGTGCGACAGGAGGAAGGAATGAGAATAAGGCCGAGGCACCTCTGCTCCATGGGAGAAGGCGAGGATTGGCGAGTGCTGCGATACTCAACGGCGTCTTGGAGGATGATGTTGCCTTGCTTGTCGATGCAGTAGAAGGAGCCAAGGAAGAACCTTCCGTCTTTGATCCCTACCAGAATCCTCCGGAACAGAAGCTTCCGTGCTCGACTCACTGCGCCGTCGGAGGTGCCTGCTTCGACCGGAACACCTTCTTCTTCTTCCATCTCACGCGCTTTTTCGATACCCAAACACGCCGCACTAAAACAACGCAATCACATTTGTTTTTGGTTAACTTATGCTAAATTAGATAGGTTAAGACCAGTTTAAACACTTTTTTTTTTATAACCCAAACATTACTGTATATTTTTTTTCCTACCACTGTTTTATCTTTTTCTTTTTTCATCATCTGTTTTACCACATATCCCCTTTTCATTTAACTTTAATATTTATATTTAAACTTTGTTGGTGGATATAGATAACATTGGATAATATTTTTTATATAATATAATATTTTACAAGAATAAATATTGCATTTTATTATAATCAAAATAAATTAAAGAAAACATTCTTAAGTATACGAGCATTAATTATTATACTTATTTTGATTAATAATGATAGTATATAAAGAGACCTAAACATAATTAAAAAGTCGAACTCTTCTCAATATGTTCTAGTGATTAATAAAATTTAAAGGATTATTAAAAATATTATAATCATTAATGAGTGTATCCTTTAGGTCTAGACCCAATAAAATTAGTATAAATAGTAATGTTTAAAGAAAGAAAAATATATTTTTGCATTATAACCAAATTAATTATTATTGATTTGTTTGATCTTGAAAACTAACTTGAACATTGAAGTATCTTTTGCAAGTATCCTTTTCTTCTCGGACAGGTATATCCAAAAACTATCAAGTATATTATAAATGACATAGGTAAAAATCATCAAAACGGGGACTTAGAAAGAGGATCAAAGTAAAAAAATTACTAATATGTTCTCATGTAGGTATAGATAATGTTTCTTTAAAGTTAATACTAAATATGATATCTTTTCACCAATCGTTTATAAAAGAATAAGGAGACGTGAACAATGAATTGTAGTCTCCTTTGGCCTTTTCATCATAATAATTCCTTGCATTTAGCATGTTTAGTGATTTGAATTAGAAGAATTAATAAAAGTCATTTATTAAAATAATTTATATTTAAAATGATTGATGAAAAGATGTCATATTTAAGACTGACTTTAAAGAAACATAATAGATATAAGAATCAATGCTTGTATATTTAAGTTTTAAATTTATTTATAAAAAAATACAATATTTATTCTCGACATGAATTATATTATTAAATATAAAAAAAAATAAAAAGTATATCATTCAATGGTATATATCAGTTAACTACCGGGAAATTTAAATATAAATGTTAAAACCAAATGGAAGGGAGACATGTGATGACATAGATAATGAAAAAAAAAAAAAAAGAGATAAAGGTGTACCACGAAAAGGAAAGAAAAAAATATAATGTTTAACTTATAAATAGGAATGTGTTAAATAATGTAATTTAGTACAAGTTAATGTAAAACAAATGTGAGAATGTGATTTCTTTTGTAAGATCATGTTTTGATAAGACGATGTTTACAGCTCTTTTCTCCTAATGTCTCAAAGGCTGTCTAAGGAGAGGTCTCTTTTATCGGTCCTCATCACTTCCACATTTTGGTTTTGTATTGATGCTTATCGTGGAGATCCAAGAAACAACATTTGTTCATTCGTCATCGGAGGCAGAATAGAGTTTTGACAACTACTACCTGTGAGTTTTGTAACCTACATAGTGTCCACACATTGCAGCAAACTCTCTAGTATTTCACAATACTAAGCACATTGTTTACGGGAAATGTCAATTTTATGCACACTCTCCCTACTTTGCTAACTAGGCAACTGACATTTCTCATTATGGTCATTATGCCTGTTTGTTTACAGTTGAAAAAGCCCCATTCAACAAAATATTGCTCCTGAGAAAGAGCAAAATACTACAGTCAGGTTTAAGAATGTAAAAAAATTTAAACCAAACCAAACCAATTCATATAAAAGAATAACATTCATTTTGAGAAAAAATTGGAATCAATTCATTTTACAAAACCGATTTGATTACCCAATTCATTTTTACAAAATATATCAATTCAGTTCAATTCTTCTATAATAAAAAAAACTAACTCATATGAATATAATGTACATAATTATAACACACCAATCCATATTTTTATAAATTCAAATCAATCTACTTTATAAAAATAATCAGTTATCCAATCTACTTTTATAACATAGATTAATTCGATTCAATTTGACTTTTTTAAAAATTCAATCCATAAACACCCTTTATTCCCAAACATGCCCTATTTAATGATAAGATGTACACAATTCCATTCATCCATCAATTGAATCATTTTCAGAATGAACATTGTCCCTAATTTATAGTGTATCTTTCTCTATTAGTTCTATTATGTCAGTTAGCATAAAGACCAACATAAATTACTGTTGAAACCATTCAATTAAAAGAAAATAAAAGCTGGAGAAAAGAAAATAACTCTCAAAATTACCCTGAAAATAACTTGACGCACTCCCTCTATGGACATGTAACCAACTTCGAGCCTTCGTCAAAGTTAGCTTTTACGGTCTTTGACAAGTTTATATCAAGCTTTTGTGCATAAAAAGAGGATAAGATGACTCGTGAAATGTTCGAACTTATTATAAGGATCATTAGCGTAGTAGACGTAATCATTACCCGTACCCTTTGGGAACTGGAATGAGGCAGCGCTAAATTTTCCTTTTCAGCTTCGACAATTTCTTTCCTTGTATATCATATTTTCCCTTGGGAAAGTAATTGCTAGGTTAAAACTGCATAATTGATATTGACAAGGTGTATAGTCGGTATATTTAATTCATAAACATTTAATATGTCACTTTCCATCTAAAATAAATCTATTATTTTTCATAAATTTGAAAGTTTCCGTGCACTATTATTTGAACGAATTTCAACTCATGATTAAAAAGAAGAAAAATATGCCAAAAAATATTGAAGAGAAAAAAAAATCCAATTATCCTCCCGGCAAAATAATAACTCCAGAATTGTGCTACTGACTGGTTAAAACTGCAAAATCTCATCCATGTCTATCATAGCCCAAATATCTGCAAATACAGAATATCACCGCGAACACTCATACAAAGAAAGAATAAATAAATAAAATACAACAAATACGATGAGTGAAAAAACAAACAAAAAAGGCACTTTTACCTTTTCAAAATTCCCGAAATGTGTGGATTTCAAATTTTTTTCCAAAATAGTAAGTCGCGTTTTTGAAACATGACTTCCACCTTTTTTTTTTTCTTATTTTATCGAAAGTAGTGATTTCAACCACTACCTTCATAATTTTTTTTATTGAAAAAATGGGGAAGTCATGTTTCAAATCGAGACTTTCCCTTTTCTTAGTTTTTCTTTTTATTTTACGTTAAAATAATATTGTGTATTATATTAAAAAGTCGTGTTTTAAAACACGGCTTTTGTTATTTATTTATTTTTAGAAGAATAGACGTCGTGTTCGTGGAACATGACTCACGAACACGACTTTTAAAGAGAAGGTTGTTTCACAACCACGGCTTTACCCAATTCGTGAATTGTTTTAAAAGATTACCCCTGTTGCTTAAAGAAGAGGAAAAAAAAAAAAAAAAAAAAAAAAAAAAAAAAAAAAAAACTCTTTTAAGAATAATTTTACTTGACTCAACCAGGCATAAGTCATCAAAACGGATAAAGCAAGCTCTTACCTCATTTCTTATCTGAAATAAGTGATGTGCAAGAAAGAAGAGAAGATAGTTCATCTTTTGTTGCCAATCCAAAGCCTTGCCATCTTACTCTACCAAAATTATCAAGTAGAAAGATATACCTGTAAAGTTGAAATGTTAGAAACAGTGTTCTTCATAACTAATAACTTCATTGGCTAAAAAAGAATTGAATAAGAAAAGGCTTCTAACCCTGTTAGGAGATTCAATATCTTAAGTTCTTTTCTGAAATAATAGTGGTCACCAAATGAATACACCATCTGCTTCTGAAGCGTATCCCTGCTTTCTGGATGATTAGGTTTCTTCATTGTCCAGAGAAGGAAACGTTTTATAGGAAACCGACATAAAAGCCATGAATCTATAAATGATACCTGATAGAAAAATACCATATAACTTCATTGAAAATTTTTAGCTGATCATTCAACAGGTGGAAACAAAAAAATTATCACCAAGGGTCTATTTAGATAATAATATTGGATTACAATTAGGAATTCTAATTTTAATTCCAAATGTCTGGGAATTGGATTTGATTAGGATTCATAATTTGTATGTTTGGGACAAACAGAAATATGATAAATAGAAATACAATCCGAATTAAATTGGAATTCTATTAAAGGAAGCCAGTATGGTGACCTCTGGTCACCAGACGCAATCAGTGGTAGGTGGAGGCGGTCAATGGCAATGACATGGCAGGTGGCAACAACAATTATTGTCAAAAACATTGATTTCCAGAGTAATGACAATAGTTTCTAGAGTTAGCAAGAGATAAATGATAATGAACATTAAAATATGAAATATTGATTCTAACTTTTATTTTTGGTATTTCTGTCACAAAAATATTATTTTGGTACTTGGAATTCACAAGTAATGAGAGGAGGATTTGGACTTAAAATTAACAAAGTTCTTAGGGGCTTGAGGTCTGTGTTAAAAAGCCTGGTATAAGTCTAATTCAGTTACAGTCAAAAAATACTATTACCGTAGTTATCAATCCCAAACAACAGTGTTGAGCGTTTAACCCCAAAGCCACTAACCACTCGTGTGTAGCAGGTCACAGGATGGCTGCTAAAGTTTTCAGATACAAATTAAATAATTTACACTACAAATATATAAAAAGGAAAAAAAATGAAGATATGAAACACAAAAAATAAAAGAGGGACAGAACAGAGAACAAAGACTAAATGAAAGACCTGTATTGAATAGAGAACAAAGAGAGCTGTTGTAAAATGGAGAGAAAGACCAGAACAGTCTCAGGTAACAGAGTTGTGTTGGAGAGACTAGAACAATAGGGGACAAAAAACAGAAATGCGGGTTTGATGAAAATGATTTTGGTCTTTATTGTGTTCATCCTAGTGAGCGGTGATAGAAACAGTGACTCCTGCGCCTTAAGTCCTATGTTTCTAAAGAAGACCAAAATCCACAAAAAGTAAGTTTAACCTCAAAAAAACGGGTAAAGAGGGAAATTTCCCTCTGTCAACTACAGTGACCAAGATGGCCATGTTTTCGCAGTTAGAGGCTGCAATTCGGAGCCAAGATCCCTGCTACATTAAAAACTCAGGTACAGGTCTTGAATGATGGCCAGAGGCTGCTCCACACCACCCCAATCTCCACCATTATACTACATTAATGATAACTTTGGTAATAACTTCTCGAGTTTTCTTTCCCTGGTGTTTATTTATATGAGATTTTTCAATGAAAAGCCCACTATGTGGTTACATCTAGGGCTAACAGATTAACAGAGGAAGTCATTGATAAAGAAACTCTCTTCAACAAGCTAAAATGATTGCAGCCCAGAAAAACAGCATCAAAAAATGAAAAACATAACAAAATCAAGTAGTAGTTCTATAATTCCATGATAACCTTCTAATATTGTATAAATATTGTCAACATCTAGTGACAAACACAAAAAAATCTAAATGCATCACTTTTTCTTCAGAAGTTTCAAGCAAGAAGCTAAATATTTGGGGAGGGATATTCCAGCTATGCGCTCTCATAAATAGCTGACTAATATGTCACAATCAACCACAAGGAAATGCATAAAACCTGAAACAAACAGATAAGTGTACCTGATATAAATGAATGTCTTTTGATTTGCTAAATGCTTCAACAAAAGGCATGCTCCAAGAGTCGATCATTGCCTGTCAAGGATACAGAGAAATGAATTTACTGTAGAAACAGTAAGCAAAAAACCAAACCAAAAGATTGTTACCATCAAACTAAATAATACAAAGAACATAAATCTAGTTCCTTAATCACTTGTTATCCAATTAAAAGGTGTACAGGGCACGTCTTTAGGGGGGGAGGTCATGCCATGATTGTAGCAATTTATGACAGTTGCTATAAAAAACCAAGAATCATTTAGAATGAAGCTGAATTGCAAACTTAGCCTGGAAAGGGGAAAAAAGTATCTTTTCATTGCATTTTTCAATATCTTCTACCCTATCTTTTACTTCCCAACTCTCGTTCTTTATACTGTTTTCTCCAGTGACATTTAAATTCCCCTTACTGTGGACAACAGATAACAGATACTGCTCAGATTTCAAATAGAATAGAAAGACTGCAAGAAACATCAAATGTGTCAACCATTTAAGACATACATGATACATGGTTGGTGTCGGCTGCAGTAAGATGAGTACACAATGAAATAACGTAGACAATAGAAATCATATGTTTACAAAACACTGCCATGATGCATTTACCTGGGAGCTTGCTCGAAATGAGAGACAAACCAAAGATGCCTTGGGGACGGATGATTTATCTGAACCAACTGTACCATCAGAAACACGGATAGGAAGCTTCATTGTTTTACCATCTGAGAAGCTGACTTCAAAATCAGGAAACTTGGTGGCCACCATTGCGGGTATTAGCACCTTATTAGCTGCAGCAATCTGCACAAACCACAGACAAATGTGAACGGGTACACACAAGACATGCTTCTAGCCTAATCAGTCAACCACTTCCTTTATAGATAAATATATATTGATCCATATTCCAAACAATATACAGCTAACTGTTTTGAGGTTAGCTAGCCTAGCAGATAAGCATGAACAGACCAACTCATCTAAAAACTGAGAACATGAGTTTGGAAAGTTAATTTTGGCTGATGAGTAATGGTGTATCACCTTGATTGGAACATAGAAACCTGAATTAAGCACGAGAAAACCCATATTGATATAGCTTACCTTACCACCATGCTTTTTGAACTCAGCCATATCAGCGACGTATCCCCTATTCAGTTCATCTTTACTGCACAAAAACCGTAGTCAACATCACACAGTTTAACACTTACCATGATAAAACCCTAAAAAACAGGAAAGGAAAATTGAACTTACAGTCGAGCGCGCTCCTTCTCAACTGCATCCTTATTTACAAACTGCAAAAATGAAATAGAAAAGTTGGAGAAAAAGAAGGTGAGAAAAGGGAGGGAAACAGAGGGAGGAAAAAACCTGATGAAGATCGAGGAAGCGTTTGGGTGTGAGGCGTGACAAGTGGTGAGAATAATCTCTTAGACTCCAACGCTGCCGAATCACTCTCTTCACCGCTTCCATTTCGATCTGCGTCTCTCCCTCCTCTTACTACCTACTGTATGTTTGGATCTCCCTTTGAAGCTTCAAACGAACAATCCCAATTTCCGAAACATAAAACGGTGAAATAAGTGTGAGGTATCTTTTTTAGACAAATGTACGTTTAGGTTTAGATGAAAGTTTATTCAAACACATCCCAGTACTTTATTTTACAATGTTGGTAAAGGCGTAAAGCATTATTATAAATTAAGTTAAAACTATTTTGTCCCTTATAATTTTTTTGTTTTAATTTAGTTTTATTTTAATTTTTTATTTTAATTTGATCTCTAATAATTTAAATTATTGTAATTTGGGACTTTCGTCCAAATGATTTAAATAGAGTTAATTATTAACCACGTGGATGTCACGTAGATGTCACGTAGATGCTAGCTGGATGCCAAAATTGCATGAATACACCTGGAAGGTCCGTTCTAACAGTAGAACGGGTTGTTCTGGTTTCAGAACGGGCCGTTCTGGTTTTAAAACGGGTCGTTCTAGTTTCAGTAGATGTCACGTAGATGCATAGCTGGACGCCAAAATTGCATGAATACACCTGGAAGGTCCGTTCTAACAGCAGAATGACTACGTCACATCCACGTGGTCAATATTTAACTCTGTTTAAATCATTTTGACGAAAGTCCCAAATTGCAATAATTTAAATTATTGAGGACCAAATTGAAACTAAAAATTAAAGTGAGACTAAATTGAAACAAAAAAATATATCAGGGACCAAATAAGAGTTTTAACCTATAAATTAGGTTTGTTCAGGCTAGAGAGAAAAATTATAGGTGAGAAATTGATCGGAAAAAAATAAAAAATTTGAGTATAAATAAATAAAAAAATTGAGTAAAATTTTGATTATTTAATTGGAAAGAAATAAATAAGAAGAAAAGCATGTTTTCTATAACATTCACTTAACCTTACAGTTTATATTGTTTTCCCATGGTTACCTGAAAAATAGTATGGTTAAAAGAAGAAAAGCATGTTTTCTCATATTCCTCGTCTTATTTTTTTTTCAGTTTTTATTATAAAATGAAACTAATAATGTTTTAAAATTTTAATAAATTTGAAAAAAAAATAATTCAGAAATTTCATTACTTCAACTAAAAACACATTTTTTTTTTATTCTGTAAGAATTACAACGAAATATTCTAAACCTTTCGCCAACAAGCTGAACCTAAACCTAGTAGTTTAAATAAAAACACATTTTTGTTATTACTTTTAGGTTTTAGCACGTAAATTTTAAGAGAAAAAAAAAAGGATGATATTTAGGCCAAGTCCTCGAACTTAAAAATACTTGTATAAAAAATACATTTATCTGATCGAAATGACTAATAAATAAGAACATGAACTACTTGCTAATTCATGTTTTCATCCTCTCTGCGCATAATAGAATTACTTGCACTGAATAAGAGCATTTTTAAATTATTCCTCAACAAAAACGTTTTTCAGAATTCTTGTTAGAATAAAGAGACAGTAATTAATTTCAACCTGCGTTGCAATGCACATGAATGGAGCACCAGACACTAATTAAATACAAGTACATTTTCAATAAATTATCCAAGCAATGTTCAAATTTCTTCTACATAGTCAGCTTTAAACTCGGTATTCAGCGATTTATAATAGAGAAAAAAGCTCAAGATAAACCATCCCAAGCTCTATGCCTCTGATCAGATGTTTCATAATAGGTTTACATATATAGAACCAAACTACACAATAGACAGTCGATATGACTTTTGTTAAACACTAGAAAATGCTACTTTGAAGAAAACACCTAAACTCAACGATGATAAGCACTAGAAAATGCTACTTTGAAGAATACGCCGACACTCAATGATGGGTGCCATCTCCATTATCCTCCATCTCTTCTGCATCCTCAAATCTTCGATCATCGATTTGAAGCTGTAATAAATTAAAATGAATATAAACAAGGAGAGCATAGAGAAAACAAATCATACAAAATAAATTATTACATACAAATTATTCATCATAGATCTAAAATGTCTGCACATTGCACAGATTAAAATAAAACCCTAGCAATCTTGTTTTCATGACAAGTTCAAAACTTTTTATGACGATATACCCAGTTCACAGCCTCACAAGTCATCCACGCCTAGTAACAAATCTTGCCAAACTTCGTAATAAATAATAAAATGCATCATACATCAATATTATTGTTAGTTAAGATTCTACACTCTCTTTTAAACAAACATGTGCCACTTAATCCTGATAGGAAAGTATTAACATCACTTATTCTACACATTAAGATAGGAAAGGGTAGCTTCATTCATTCAACTGTGTATCCCCCTAGTTGAAACAGTTTTCTAGTTCAACAGTTTTAAGATTAAAAGGAAACAAATAACTAGTACCTCGAGTCAATACAAGAAAGAAGACCCTACCTCAAGCACAGTACGAGCCAGATCATGATCTCCATTTGACTGACCAATAGTGTTGGCTGGATTATGAGACAAATAACCTTCATCCTCTGATAGAAAAAGAAAAGAAATACGTTCAAGAATAATACAATAAGCCTATACAATGTACTAGGAATCAAGATTAAATGCCCGCATATAAACCTGCTTCTTCATCTTCCATCTGGTCAGCGCTGAAAATCCAATTATGTTCTTCTTCCACCTCTAAAAGAAGAAAATAACTCAGAAAAGAAGAAAACACGAGAGTGAGGAAGTAAAAACTAATGCTGACCATCATTTGGTTCTGGATTAAGCTCTGCACACCGGCAGAATGTTTCAAAGAGAGCGTCCACTGAAAAACAATGAGATGACACATAAGCAAAAGTACAGAAAGCAAGTATAATGTGCAAAGTGATGAAGAAAAGAAAAAGTTACATTGAGTAGGATCAGAGGGTATGAGCCTCATCTCTGATATGTTAGACAAATCTTGTTGAATATGATTAGAATCTGAATCAGAGTGGTCCTCATCTGCTTCTTCTATGTCAATCTAGAAGAATAGAAACAAATTAGACAGATGACAGTGAAGAAGCATAAAATAGAAAATAGAAAATAATTATGAAAGATACCTGGGTATATAAACAATGAAGGGGGTAAGTGTCAGGGTCTCTGGAGATGGCGTGAAGAGATATAGATAAAAAATCAACAGCATATCCTTTACTCCTGTCTACATCATTCACCCAAATTATTTGCCTGTATGTAAAATCAAAGTGTGAATGAATACAGAATAGAGCACACAACAATACAAAAAAATTGGAACAAGAGAAAAAAGAGGAGAGGATAAGGGATAACATACTTGTTAGTGATATAAAGTGTGCCAGGGGACTCGCAAGGAAGATCGGCCAAGGCTATGCCTACACCAGGCTGCACCCTCATCAACTCCTCCCCATTCTCACTGTCGACGAGAGGCTCTCCACTACACCTTATCTCTCTCAGCCCTAACCCCATTTCTTCTCTTTTCTGTTCAGCTTCAAAAAATCACCAACACAATCATATATTGTCCATTAAGATAAAGGTACAGAAAATTTTGAATCTGAATATATAAGATATAAATATATAAAATTCAAGTAAAATGAAAGGAATTGAGGGCATCATGACCATAATGAGCACTCGTCAGACAACTTCTGGTTTCCAAGAGCACAAGGGAATACGAGTAATTACAAAAGAAAATCATAAAGCTGCATTTTTTATCAGAATCTAGAAAGAAGTACATAAAAATGAAATTTATAAGAACAAATTTAAACTAAAATTACCTTCACCAAATGGGGATTTCCTGGTGGTGATGTGAAGAACAAGCACTTGTCCTTGCACCACAAACTAGGTCGGGTCAAGCTATCGTTAAAGAAAAAATAATAATAAATAAACAAGATGAAATGCAAAACCAAATTTATGAAATAAAAGATATCGAAAAAAGCTAATTTAAGAGTAGGATTTGAGTACTGAACGATGGAAATGATAGATAGATACCCTTCTGGAGATTCCTGATGTTGTTAGAGGACAAAGTGATCCTAAGCACAAAAATTAAAAACGCAAACTGAATCAAAAGTAATAGAGCAGTTGGGGAGGGTTTATAGAAATTCAGGTTTGTAATAGATTTCTTAGGGTTTTTCATTGGGTCTAGAAATGGGCCGGATCATCCACAGACCCGCTTATAAGTTATAATATAACCGTTACGAATACATATATATATATATATATATATATATATATATATATATATTAGTATAAAATTTATACACCATTATTTAATTATAATTTGTCGTTTAATTAAAAAAATTTAAATATGTAATAATTACTCTTACATATAATATTTGTTCTAATTTATTTTAATTGATTAATAGTATCAAAATATATATTAGTAATGTAATGGAATTAAATAATAAAACTAATAATTCCGAATTCTAAAAATTAAAAAAGACTTAGATATGTTTTTAGTTCATTTTTGAATTTTTATGTAAATGAGTGAATTTTTATTTTGATCATATAAATTTTTTTTTTAATTTGATCTATTATAACATAATTTGTTAGTTTGATACCTCAAATCTTAAATTTCCAATACTTAACCCTTCTATCAAATTTAGGTTATTTACTTTCATAATCTGGACGTAGATTCTAAGATATTAAGAATTAATACTTTCAACAATTAAATTGATAATATATATATATATATATATATATATTTATTTATTGTGTAGTAACATTTTCACTCTTTATTTGTTATAAAATAATTTTTGATGTTACTACTTCTAATCAATACGAATTTATCATTGAGAGCATAATCAATCAGTGAGATTTGTTTTAGTTTAACAAAGTGGTCTTGAAATAGTCAATGAGATTATCTCTTGCGATAATTCATACAACAAAATAATTATTTAAATTTATGTATACAAATTCACCCATTATAGTAGTTATGATTTGTGCATATTGTTTTTCATTTGTTTTTCATATTGCAGCCTAAAAGGTTATAATAGACATTTTTCATAAAATTAAATGATACAATTCTTGATTTGGAATGCTCAAGAATACAGAACTAAACACACTAGTTATTTACAAATACATTGTCAATAAATTATTCAAATAATGTTCAAATTTCTTCTACATAATACAATTTTAAAGTCAGTACATAGTTGCTTTCTAATTTCATTACCAAAAAATAAATCTAGGATAAGCACTTTACTTCTCGGATCAAGTGTTTCATAATAGGTTTACATGTATAAAATCAAACTACATATACAACAAATAGTTGATATGACTTTTAGCAATTAATATAAAAATTCATTTTGAAGAAAATACACACTCATCGACGCGTGTCATCTCCATCTATCGTACATCCTCAAATCTTTGATTGTTGATATATGAAGTTCAGAAGTTGTAATAAATTAAAATAAATACAAAATTGGGGGTCTAGATAAAACAAATTATACAAAACTAGTAAAGAATGTGAGTTTCCCATTTTACTAATGATCGTATAAGAGTGATACATGCATGAAGAGGTAATTGCTATAGTGAAAACTTCAGGATGTGACACCAAGGACTTTCTAATAGGACAAGAATATAGCAATATTCAGCCTTAACTCTTTGTCAGTTTAATCTAGTCTTGGACATGCTTATTAAAGACGTTCAAAAGTTTATCTCTAACCATATACTTTTTTGTAAATGATATAGTTTTCACAGAGGAACCAAAGGAAGTCAAAGGAAGCCAGTTTTGAAAAAAGAAAAATGTTTTACTTAAGTAAGAACAAGACAAAATACATGCATTACAATTTTGGCGAGAGACAAAAAATATATGATGTACAAGTATAAATGGAAGAATTTGTCAAACCACAAATTTCCAACTTTAACTATATGAGATCAATAATAAAAAATGATAGAGAATTATTGAAGTTGTAACACATACGATACAATTGACATTGCTAAAATGGAAAAGGAGTTGAGAGTTATTTGCAATAGTAAATTACATATTAAAAAAACAAAGGTATGCTCGTTGATTTGATAAAATTGTAAATGTACAATGTGTGACATCGTCAAGTATTAAAAATAATTATCATCTCAAGAATCACATGCTTTGTTTAGCAATTATTACTATTCAAATAAAATTAAATGAGTGAACAACAATTGAAAATATTTCAAGATTGAGAAAATTAGAATTTAAAGATGAAGATCAAATTAAAAATTAAAACAATGATTATAAGAAATAAAATTTATGATCAAAAAAATATTTTGAATCAAGATTTATTACACTATTAAACTCAACGATTTGACTTTCTACTCTTGTTATTTTGTTTTTTTATCATTTAGGGAGAATTAACCGTAAGTATTCTTCGGTATTTATCAAGATATAGAGGTATACCTAATCAAATTTATTTTCTACTATTATAAGGTTCCATTTCACCTTATGATACTTCTTCAAATTCATAAGGTTAGGTAAAATATTGGCTAATTTGTTTCAAATAAATAAATGAATAGAAGAAAAAAATCAAAATTCACATAAGCACGAAAAAAAAATCAATTGATTAAAATATTAATATAGTTATGTTCAATATTAGACTAAAAATGACCACTAGAGTTAGCCTAGTGGTTGAGTGGAGAGGGGTTAGAGTATTTATAAACACAAGGATCTAGGTTCAATCCTTATTGCGACTATCTTTGTAATATTTTCTATCTTTACATAAATAAATAAAAATACTAGACTAAAAATCAATAAAAAAATATCAACTCACATATAGTCGTCATGGAAACCGATTGAGATAAAAATTATGAAATAAAAATATATGTCTAAAATTACAAACAAGATACTACAAACCTTATATTTATCGCATCCCCAAAAAAAGAAGTAAATCCTTTCATAATCCATTTGACCAACCTCTTCCCCTATCTTTATATAGTATTTTAAGTTTTTCATAGTTTCTCATGACTTTGCAACACATTTATGTTTCCTTACTTGGTTACGTATAACAATGAAGGTCTTCTTGCACCAATAAAATTAGAAGAAGAAAAAATTCCACTTTCCACGTTAACGGTCTAGTAATTACTACTGAACAAAATTACATTATTTGTCTTTTATGTTTACATAGTTGTGCTCTTACCAAGCAATTTTCATTTATACGAAATTTGTTTACCTGTTGCATTTGTTGCATTTGCTGATCAACATTGATTTTTTACAGGACTGAACAACATTGTTAAATAACAATTTTATAATATGAAAAATAATTATGTTAAATATTCCATCATCCCAAAACACCAAGTGATGAAATGATAATTAGTGTTAAATGGTTCGTTAGGAATTGATAGTATTAATTTATCCAGAATTAGAACTTCACCTTGTGAAACCATTCAATGTAACCAAAAAAAGAATTATAATCATATAAATAAAATAAAATTCCATTCTGATACCTTTGTTTGGTTTTATATTTTGTCTAATTTTGTAACCGATCACTAGTGTATCGGTAACAGGTTTCTACTCTTTATCGGTATATTGTCTTATTTGAATGTTTAATTTTTATATTTTTAGCGTAGATAACTATTTAATCACTACAAAATAAGATAGTTTTCATGTTAATCCATTTAATTTTAATTATTTTATTTTGATCTTTTCAATTTTTAGTCCTATAATTTTCCGTTTTTTCTATTTAGATGCCTGTAATTTTCTCTATTGGATTTGTCAGAACAGACAAAATGAAACAAAACAAAAAAAAGTAATGGGATTATGAAAAATTTACCCATGTGTGAATATAATGCCTGAACAAAGGAAAACTTTAAATATGCAGGCATATGCATTAAAAAGCTAAACCACACCAAACCCTCCCCCAACCCAAAAAAATAAAATAAAATAAATAAAGCATTGAAAGAAGAAGAAAAAAAAAAAATATATATATATAATTTAAATAAAACAATAACATTTATGATT